GAATTGTTCCAAGAGTGGATAATTTGATTGGTCACTTGAATCGTGTTGTGGGTTTTGATTGGTCGATCATCATCGATTGTGTGTCGATTTGGTGATTCTGCTTATTCGATTGAGCACCCACCCACTATAATTTCGAATCGACTTGACAATACTATATATATATATATATTTATACACTCGTGTAGTCGATTGTCTTAAGGTTTCATATGTATATAGGGCGTCCGTGTTGGCGGCGGCAAACCCCGTGTTTGGCCGTTATGATGACATGCGCAGTGCGTCTGATAACATCGATCTCATGAGCACGATCCTCAGTCGATTCGATCTGATCTTCATCGTGCGAGACATTCAGGACGAGACTCGCGATCGCAATATGGCGGCGCACGTCGTTCGCGTCCATACTAACCAGCTCAACCAACCGCAGCAAGATACCCAGGGGGTATATATATATATATATATATATAGTCCTTTGAGCCAATGTTTTGTTTGTACTGAGATGATATATATATAGTCCTTTCAGCCAATGCTTTGTTTGTACTGAGATGTTATATATATAGTTCTTTCAGCCAATGCTTTGTTTGTACTGAGATCTTGTATGTCAAACTTGTCGAGGGTTACACTAAAACAAGTCCCTCACTACATTCGATGTTGAATGATTGATACGATTTGATTGGCTTGTTGATTCGTGTCGTGGATTTTGATTGGTCGATCGATATTTGTGTGCCGATTTCGTTCAATCAATTTGACAATATATATATATATATATATACTGATCACAAGTGCATGTTGTTGCATAGGAGATTGAACCAGCGCTCATGAAGCGTTTCATCACGTACTGCCGGCAGCGCATTGCGCCGCGACTATCGATGGACGCGACCCAGGCATTGCAGGACTTCTACGTGCAAGTTCGGGACACAGTGCGCCAGGATGAGAAAGCGCGCGCGATTCCCATCACGGTGCGGCAGCTAGAGGCATTGGTGCGCATCTCGGAGAGTCTGGCCAAGATGCATCTCAAGATTCAAGTGACTTCGGAGAACGTCCAAGAAGCCATTCGGCTGTTCAAAGTATCGACGATGAATGCATCGCAGGATGGCGGCACCCGCGGCCTCTTTGGGGCGTTCCATGAGAAGGCCGCGGTCGTCGAGGAAGCTATCCTCAAGATGGTTCATGTCGGCGTGCGCATGGACACGACAGCGCTGTATATCAAGCTCGAATCTCAGGTACTAGTAGTACTAGTAGTAGTTAGTAGTTTCTACCGAGGGGATTCGAGTGGGTGTTTATGTTATGCTGTGATTGTCAGGGACACAATCCGAACGCGATCCAGCGAGCCATTCGCGGCATGGTGCAAAAGGGATCGCTCAAGCAGACAAACCAGTACAAATACGTGTTGCGTGCTATGTAATAACCCAACTCCCCTTTGAAATATATATATATATTATCAAGTCCATTCGAAATTTGAGTGGGGTGCTCAATCGAATGAGCAGCACCAAATCGGGAGACAATCGATCGACTAATCAAAACTGAGATCACAAATCAAGTAGCCAATCAAATCCACTCTTGGACCAATGACTGAAATTAGTGTGACACTGGACTCATACAAAAGTGAGTACGAAAAGGACTATATATATTGTAAAAGTTCCCAATTCTTCGGTCCCGTTTTACTGAACCTGCAACGTCCCGGCGACATATGATGAATTGTAAGCCACAAAAACGACATACAAACAAATATAATAATAGCCAATCAGAGACAAGAAATTTCAGATAAGCCAATCAAATGTTGCAGCGAGGTTCTACAGTATCCAGGGTGGAAATCATACCAAATCTACCTACTGATTTCCCTCTGACTTTTAAACGGGGCAAAATCTATAATTTATATAATCTTATATTTATTAACTTACACAGAACGTTTTGAAAATTCAAATGCAAAGAGTGAAAGGCATCAATACTGTAGCGTTGTGTTATTTTGAAGCACGAAGTTGCGCATCTCCTTGGTTGACAAGCAAGATCGGTTGTACGAAGTACTCTCGTCGTTGCAATGGGCTGGGCGAAGGAAGCATGGCGCGCAGTATCGCCATCGACGGTGACCAACTGCTGGAATCGTACGGGCATACTTGATAGTAGTCGAAGTAAATAGTTCAGATTACAATCAAGATTTCCATCAATAACAACAACTATTAATAGTTTATAGTTCCGACAACAATCAAGATTACCATCAATTTTATTACCATCAATGAGCCCCCAACAATTTTGGAGGGGGTGCTCCCTTCGTCTTGACAGCCTGGCAATATCGCTCCATTCGTGAACGGACAAGGCCGTCGTTCATGTACAACAAGTCAGCATGGAACGTGTATATCATGCGCGCAACACACAGCACAATGCGACTAACAGCGGCTTGTGAACGCCCGAACTCGTTGGCAATCGTGTGTAGCTTCGACGGCTCCGCAAAGCGTCGACATAACATGGTCAGGGATTCCAGTCCTCGAACGTTATCTCCTGCAGGCGTAACGACGGGATCGGGAAGTCGAAGCTTTGCAGTGAGAAGGGCGAGCTGGTCAATCGTGAAGCGGTAGAGCTCAATCGCTGTTGGGCTGTCCAGCGTTGTGTTGAACTGGTTAGTGTACGTACGGATTCCTGGTGCACGTCACAATCGCAGTAATTGTCTACTCACGCATATTTGCAACAGGCGACGGAGGACCCACCACCGGCCATTGGCGCGATGAACGAGGATCGCCACGAGCGCAACGGTTTGCTCGAGCGTAAGCTGGGGTGCAAGGAGTGCCATAGATGGATTCACAAATGCCCAACAAGTACGCACTTGTTTTATCCAATGAACTACAAACTCGAAACTCGATGGTCCTTGAGATGCCAATCAAGTTTGATTTTCGCCAAACAAGCCTTGGCCAATCAAATTGCTTGATTTTGGTGGGCCAAACTGGAACTCTAGCTCAAATTGATTTCGAAAGAGCTCTATTAGAGCTCTAATGAAGTGATATCAACACAGAGATTGAGTATTAACTTGTGCAATATTACACCCCTTTAATTTTATAAACTATTCGCATATTGACACGTCATTTCAAATAGTACATCATCAATTTTAGGCGATTCACGACTTGAACAGTGATAATCCATCGTGCTCTCCTGGCTGTCTGTTCTAGAATGCTCAGTACATTGGCGTTTTAGTCGATCACTTCTTTAATTACTTCATATCATCCAAGGTCATCCACTACTCCTCGTTCATGCCGAGCCGAAACACCACGACACCAGCAAAGATACTCCCCTCTGCCCGCACGATTAC